TCCTTCCTGGCTGAGTCTATGAAGTGTGGACAGCCAGCCCAGCAGCCATGGTCCTAACTGCTTGACCATTTGCACACTCACAAAGCGCTCCTGACAGGCCTGGACACCAGGCACACCCCCGGGGGTCCCCTGATGAGGACTCCCTTGTGGCATCAGGGTCATAACTAGATTCGATCTGGTCCCTCGGCTTGCGGGCCTGTGTGGCTTTCAGCAGCTCACACGAGCATCCTTTGTGGCGTGGGGACGGCGCCGACGCTCTCGAGAGTCCCCGTGAGGACGGAATGAGAGAGATGCACGAAGGTTTGAGGCACAGTGAATGCTGAGCAAATGTCTTCGTCGCCTAGGGCTGCTGTGCCCCAGTACCGCAAACCCGGTGGCTTCAAACAGCAGACACTAATTCTATGACAGTTCTAGAGGCTAGAAGGCCAAAATCGAGGCGTGGGCAGGGCTCTGGGAAGGCTCTGGGGAAGAATCCGTCCTCGCCTCTTCCAGCTTCCAGCGGTTACGGCAAACCCTCAGCATCTCTTGCTTTTGGTGTCATAACCCCAATCTCTGCCTCCGTTGACCCCCGGCCACCTCCCCTCCATGTGTCTCTGTGTCCATATTTCCATCTTTGTCGGGGAGCACACGAGTCCCTGGACTCGCCCCCTCCCCAATCCAGTCTGTCCCCATGACTTGATTACATCGGCAGTGACCCCATCTCCAAATAAGATCGCATTCACAGGTACCAAGGGTGAGGACGTGAATATGTCTCTGGGGCGGGGGCACACAATTCAACCTGCAGCAGCAGGTATTTATTTTCAGGAATAATCGACCCGTCTACCTCCAGTCCCTACCTCCCTCCTGCTCTCCCAACCATCCGTCTATCTAGCTGCCCACTGGACTCTGGTCCCCACGGGGAGGTCCCAGAGATTCCCCAGCTCCCAACACGCGACTCTGACCTCGCTGTCTCCTCTCGGCCCTGCCCCCTCACACCTGAGAGAAATGAAAACATACCTCGACCCAGACATGCACAAATACGCTCTCAGCAGCTTTATTCAGAATCGCGAAAAACCGGAAACAAACCAGATGTTCATCCACAGAAAAATGGTAAACAGACCATGATGACACCCTGCTCGGCGACGGAAAGCAGCAAAGCGTTGGGCCACACAGCACGGATGCGTCTCCCAAAGCGTAATACCGAGCGGGAAAGAACGAGACGCAAACTGTGCAAAGCCAGTTATACGAATTAATTCCATAATTCCTGAGTCGTTTTTTTCCAAACCTCGATCCGATTGTTCTGTCGCCATTGGTTAAAATCTTTTCCTTTCCTATTTGGATAGACTTGGTGTTATTCAAATTAATTCTCTCTCTCTCTCTCCATATATTTTGTTTGTTTGTTCGTTTGTCGCATACCGCACTCTTGATTGCTCACATTTTATAGTAAAGTCTGATTTCTCTACCGTGTCCTTATTATTTGAAGATCGACTATTCTAGGTCCTTTAGATTTCCATATAGATTTTAGAATCAACTTGTGTGTGTATGTGTGTGTGAGTGTATATATGTGTGTGTGTGTGTATATACATGTGTGTGTATGTATATATATGTATACACACACACACACACACATATATATATATATATATATAGAGAGAGAGAGAGAGAGAGAGAGAGAAACAGATTACTTTAAATCAATACAGAGAAAAATGACATCTTAACAGTATTGCATCTTCCCGCATGAGCATAGTATAAAGAACACGGATCTTCTTTAATTTCTCTCACCAATGTTCCATATTTTTCTAGTACGGAATTGTTGCATGTTTTTGTTTTTGTTTTTTAAATTGTCCCTTGGTGCTTCCTATTCTTTGGTGCTGTTGTCAATGAGCTGCGTACAAACTTAGGGAATGTTTGAGCCTCATCCAATCCTTTGATTTCTTTCCATCCAGGCTTCTTTACGAAGCGACTGCTGAGACATACCCCCTTCCTTGTCTGGTTTCCGTCAGTGAATTCTGGGATCACGTCTCGTTCATCGGATGGTCGCGTGATCGTTTGGGAACCTCCCTGGCTCGTTTGGTTTGTCTTTGTGGGGAGAGATCACGAGGTCCTACTTGACTCCCATCTCAACGCAGAAGTCAACCCCCTTGAACTCCACCGCCGAAGACAGAGGCAGACGAAGGCAGGGTGAGGCCTCCCGGGAGGAGGGACCTCGGTCACAGAGGCTGAGGTCTGCTGCCGGTCACCTCCAGAGTTAAGAGAGATTCGCAGGAGGGACTTCCTGGTCCAGAGCACAGGGCTCCAGCGTGTGCTCGGCACACACGTCGAGCCAGGTGCTCTGACGGGATTTTACTCCCACAGATTTACAGGCGGGGCTTCTGATCTTGTTCCACAGGGCGGGAAACGGGGGCACAGAGAGGTAGGGATGGGTCTGCCACTTTACTTAGTAAAGAGATAGAATGTGGATTAGAACTCACAACTCTTCGGTTCCAAAGCCTGTGTCCTGTGTATACGTTTAACCCGTGCCTAGAAGGCTTTTAATTCTACAGGAATCGGCCCCAGGTTTTATCTTTGTCCTGGGGCGGGGGTGGGGAGGAAGGATGTGGTCCCTCCCTCGAGCCACAGCCACGTCTCCGAGGCTTCTCACTTGCCTATGCCGATCTCTGAGTACTCATTGTCAGTGACCCTGGCTTCCTGCGGGGCCTCGGGCTTCGTCTTTTGAAATCTGAGGGATGCGTAGTGAACGTCCTCTTTCTCCGCCGGAGTCAAGGGACTGTGGTCTGTGAGGCTGCCCCGCTGGGATTCAGTCAGGGGACCCTAAGAGGAGAGAAAGAAGAGGATGTCAGAGCGAAACAGTGGAGACGGAGAAGGCGGCAGAGATGCCCTCGCCCGCTGACCCCACACCCATTTTTTTGCTGAGGTCGCCTTTCCTGCCGGCTAATCTCATTAACTTCCCACGGCGACCTCATAAGGACGATATTATTAGTCTCCGCTTCATGGGGATGAAAACTGAGGTTGAATCGAGGAAGTAGCATGCTCCAAGTCCAACCCAGTGAAACAAGGACCCAAACCAGTTGGTTTTCTTTTTTAATCTCAAAGCCGGGTGTCCTACGGAGGCCCAACCCCCACCCCACCCCTCCCTGTGTGCGAGGCCCTGAGCTGGGTGCTGGATACCCTGTCGCGGACATGGCGAACACGGGCTCTAATCTCTCCAGCATACTCTTTCATCGAGGGAGGCAGCCACACTGAGTTAAAGAAATAAACATCTAATCGCGAATCGTGCCCCGATGGACAGGAACTGGGTAAGTGAGAGGGAACCTTAGAGCCTCCACTCAGGCATGGCACCTGCCCTTGGCACGTTCATAGTTTGGTGGGAGAACAGATTGGGGAGGTCTGGGCAGGGTGGGGGGCGGGGAAGTGCAGAGTCGTCCAAGGGGCACGCAGTTCTCGTTTTGCAATGAAAACGTTCTAGAAATACATTGAGCAACTGCACACTTCAAAAATGGTTAAGATGGTGCATTCACGTTGTTTTTGACCACTACAAATAAGTAACAACGACAACAAAACCTCCACGAGCCAGCCCCTCCCCCACCCCCGCCCCCACACTCCCCGTCCTCTGCGCTCTGCAT